TCCCTACAGAAACAGAAATAACTGGCTTTGTCCCTGGAAATAATTTTGAAATAAAGCAGAAGGCTCTTTGGGAAGTCTTGTTACTAGAAATGCTGGAATTATTTTATTGACAAGAATTCAATTTTTTTTTTTCCAAAGCATTATTGCCACACATTTATAATTTTTGTCTAAAATTAAAATGTCAGTTTTAGTTTTCCTCTTGCTTTTTTTTTTCTTTAAGCTGGCCTCCAATTAAGAATAAGACAAAAGTGCTGCATCTGAAACGGTGGAATGTTATAATCAGAATTCTTTCAGAGACAATAGCTGTGATGCAGCTGGTCTTTGGCCCCCATGTGCTATTGTCTTCCATTCTTCTGCTCCAGAAGTCTGTAAGTAAGTCAAAACTGTGCAGCTTTTAAAACTATGACGAGAATTCTCAGGGTTGTGGGGTTTTTTTAGCACTTCTCAAGTATGAGACAGTCATGCAAGATTGTTCTTGTACTGATTTTTCCAAATGTTTTATAGCAGCATTTTGTACATGCTCATTTCCAGTTCTTTGTCTGGATGCCTGCAAACAGAGGGAGACAGGACACAAAAGTCGGCCAAGGCAGAGGCACTCGGTGATGCCAGGTTACCCTCACTACGAAAGAATGTACCTGAGCACCAAGCACCATGCGGGCAGCAATAGATGCACAGAGAAAAGTAAAAGGAGACTCAATGGAAGGAAAGGTAATGCTCTGTCTTAAGAGATGGACAGAACCTCCAGGACTGATTTATCCTGACTGAACCAGTGAAACAATTGCTTCCCTTACTTTTTTTGGAATGAAGGCGACGCTGCTCGATTGGTTAGCTGCAGTCAGAGTGTTACAGGCTAGTAGAGCAACAATTCCGTCACAAGCTACATTTAAATAAAAATCTTCAGCTGGAACGTTTTGTATAAAAGAACAGGGTTTCTAGAAACGTGAGGGAAAACAGCAAGTACTGTCAGACACCACATATGATAATTACTGAGCTTGGAGTGGACACTCGTACATGGTAAACAGTATTTCCTTTGTAGAAAGGCCCAACCTACTGAGCAAATTCAGATCTTTAGAAGCAAGAAGCTGCTCTGTGCGAAGCAGAATGAGCAAAGGTGAGCTGCTCTTCACAAACATACATCAACTACTGTCGTTACTCAGAAGTGGTTTTTTTCCCTTTCCAGCTCTTTTGTCTTTGCTCGAGTTCAGCTTCAGTGAAGGCAGCCGGGCCCCAGTTAGTGATTAAGTGAGGGTTCTTGGAGCCTGCAAGAGAGAGTGCAATACTTGAAACAGGCGTTTTGGCAGGGACATTGCTCACACGCCGTCCCCGGGACAGGTGACGCCAAGGGCTGATTCAGTAAGTGCTGTCTCATCTGTGACTGGAAATCCTCTCAGCGGTGACCTGGGGACCTGCCTCACCAAGGAGGGAGGAAGGCCCAGGATGTCCTCAGTGCGGGTGCTTAGTAGGAGTCATTGTCAATTGCTGCAATCTTTTCCGTCCTTATCTCCCCATTTCCCCCCCACAAAGTCACTTTCCACGCGGGCTGGCACAGTATTAATTAAACTAAACTAAGAAATTAAACTTTTCCCCCAAATCAAATATTTTAGCTATGACGTTTTTGGCAATTAGCATTTATTTTAACTGCATTAAGCACCTAAACCATGCAATGTTCAGGTTGATCCTTGCTTTGTTTTAAATAAACAAACAAATAATAATTTAAAAAATTGTTATAGTAGGGCAAATAGAGGTAAAACTTGAAAGCTACCATCAACAGTTGTCACAAACACTATTTATAGGCTGCTGTGAAACAAATAAGCCACAGGAAGAGGCAGACTTCAGTAAATCCCTAGGTGGCCTAAGTGCATGAGACAAAATGAATATATATTTTTTGTAACTTTTCTGATGATAGCTTACCTGGCTCTATTAGTCGAATTAATCCCTCATGATGTGCTACTTTATCTTTCCAGCTCTTGGTGTTATTAGCTGCCGTTTCCAATTTCTTCTTAACCTCCTGAAATAAGATAGAGCCCACTTGAAAACAAGAACAACTTTACTCTGTTCATGTAAGAAGACAGAATCACAGTAATTCGGCCAGCACTCCATCTAGTGTAGAAGGGAGAACCTAATTTCTAGCCATCCTAAGTAATTTAGTCATCACTCGCTGTAGAAAAGCTAAGCTGTCAAATCAGAATCCAAAAGCAACCAGTTCTATAAGTTTCTGTAGCTGCCTAAGAAGGGCTACTCTTCCCGAAGGCTGAAAGTATAAATCACAGTTTCAAAACAGAAAGATGCATTTTCTGTTCCAAACCAAGTTCAGCTTGTGGGGCTCTCTCACCACCAGAATTCATAAAATCTAAGCCAGGAAAAGGACCACTGCTGTTACAGCCTGCGAGAAAGAGGTATTCTTCAGTCTAAACCAGTCTTTTGGTCAGGCTGGTAAAAGTCTTGGTCAAACAGAAGCCCAGAATGTTTAATGTTTTCTAAAATAATGAGTCCATCATTGCAGTGACGTCCTCCACCTTTTGTTCTGTGGATTTGGCTTGTTTGTTTGGATTTTTATTTGGTTGGTGTTTATTGTGTTATGATGTTTCACATAAAAAAAAGCCCAAGATCTCAGCTAAAGAAAGCCAAGTATTAGTCAAAAGCAATCTAATAATGGTGTTTGTTAGACATACCACCAACATGGTAACTTGTAAAGTGGCCCCACTTGGGCCCTCAGTCACTGCAGCACTTGAATTCTGCGCCAGAGGAGATGGCTCACTAGCTCATCCTTCACAGAGTTAACCTCAGGGGCACAGGGAGAGTATAAACACACTCCCTAGTTAAACAGAACTCCAGCCGTGTTTTGTCTCCTGACCTAATTACACGCAGGAGCGACACCTCCCTGGGCCTGGAACGTATGCAGCACTTCAGCCTTCGTGCTCACTGGATTTCTTCCCTGAATACAGCTACTGGCCTTCCCCAAACACACTCAGCAGAACAGACCTGGTACCTGGGGCACTGCTATGCATTGAGAAGCTGAGCTAATTCCTAACTATCCTTGATACCAGTGCTTAAATACCTTTCTCAGGAGCAAGAGCCTACAGTAGCACATTGATTTTTCATCTACAGAAGAGACAGTACTGCCCCTTGACATCATCAAAACATTGCAAGGAAAACCAGTTCAAAGGCATAAGGCATTTAGTAACGCTGGGACTGCGGAGGAAGCCAGTCTACAGCAGAAGACGAACGTACAGAGTGTGTCAGGATATGACTGAGCTGGCCTGCATGTGAGCTGGGACAAACGAATAAAAAGCTGGTGTGTCTGAAATGTGGCCTCTTCTTCAAATCCATCTGCTGGTCTAGGCCAAAAGAACCCCAACACATAACTATCCTACCTGTGACTATAATTTTTGTGCCGTATTAATCCTTAAAGCAGCGTGATATTGATGAACTTCAGTTAAACTGCTGGATAGCTGGCTAAGTACAAGAGGTCGATGAACAGAACCGCTCACCTCGTATTGCTCGAGAGCCTCCTTCCTTTCCAGCTCAAGTTGTTCCAGTTGCTGCATAGCGACTTGCAGAGCCTGTTCCTTTATCATTCTCTGGTTTTCTAGTTCTTGCTTCTCCGCTTCTGTCATCTGTATGGTCTGTTGCTGCTGCAAGTGCCATTTTTCCAGTTCAGCTCTCTTTGCCGACTCCTCTTCCAGTAATCTGCAACGGGCATTGCAATGTTAATTGTACTTATAAAGTAAGCTCTATCTATTATGTAGTGTACATGTAACGAAGCCAAACTAATAATTTTCTCCCCGCTTTTAATACTTGGGAAGCGGGGAAAAAAACAATTGCTTGTTGGCTTGTCTTCAGTGTAAAGCTGAAAATTATGCCAGCAATGCAAGCAGTCTCACTGCTACAAAGGGCTATTCAGAAAATTTAGTCAATAATGCAAATATACAACACTGAAAAACACAGAAGAAACAAGCATGCGTAAGGTATCTTAATTGTCTTAGAAGGACTGAATACATGAAAAAACAAATCACACTAAACATAGTCCATATGAGTAAGAGGAGACTTCACCTTTTATCAATTACAATTTAAACCTGTGATAATATATGACAGAAAGTCCTATTTATAGGTGCTGCTTTGTAAAATACACAACTGAAAATTCTGGAGAGTGATCTCAGAGGTTGACATCCACAACACCTGATGAAAAAATAAATGCACCTGGTTGTCTGAAATTGCTGAGCACTCCCACTGCTAAGGGCTAATCAAACATATTAAAGAAAAACATGTAAATACCAGCTTTAGCCTTCATAGTTTAGGGAAAAAAAAAAAATCTATCCTGTGTTTAGGCTTCAAGCTAGTCCCCACTCTGCAGCTGTGTGCCTAAGATGCAAACAATCTTTAATACTATGGCACAGTTATTTTTTACTGGGGGGGGAGTGGGGCACAGAGACTTGAAATACATCTCTACTAGATCAAAGCCATACCTGGCTTGAAGTTTCCTTACAGTCTCTTCATCTTGACGTGCCTGTTTCTCATCCTCCAAAGCTTCCTGTAGCTGCTTGTACATTTCTTCCAGTTCACGTACTCTCTGTAAATATTGTTCCAGTTCAGATGATTTCTGAGCAACTTGCTCTTCCATTTTCTGTCTTACCTAGCAGCATAAATAGAGGACACATATGAGCTACTACTCAACTCTGCTTTCAAATTTTTAAAGGAATTGCCAAGTTTCCCTCAGCTAGTGTTTTCAGAGCCAAACCTTTTCCTGCTGCCCACAGAGCTAAACTGGTAAAATTGAACCTGAATTTGTAGTTGTGTAACTAAGAGAATTAAAAAAAAAATTTAAAAAAAATAGAGGTTACTTACATTGCCCTACTTCTATCAGCACAGGTTTTTTTATAGTTTTAAACCTAACTTCAGTTTGAGCTTGTCACTTAGTTTCCAGATATGCACCACACGGAAGGAAGAGCAAACCTTTAGAGTGCCCAGACCCAAAGGTCAGGCTGGTTTAATTACACTGTTTCCACTGTGTTCCTCAGGCAAGCCCTCCCTGGGCAGGGCCTACCTCACCTGCTGGCAGCTGAAGGATGGCACCGCGACAGCACCCAAGTGGTGGGAATCGGGTAAGGAGGTTGGCTCCGCTGAGAGAACAGCAACTCTAACAAAAAAGCAGTGGTAAGGGACTGAGGGGTGAGGAGATGCTGCACCCCACGGTTGCTCAGGCTCCCATCCTCACTACTCCCTGTCACTGACCAGAGCGGGAACCCAGCACCGAAGCCATCGCTCCCCAGAGTCCCTCCCTGCGCTGGGGACAGCAGCAGCCAGGCGGCTCTGAGCCAAGGTGTGACAACACACCAACGTCTCCGCACGTCACAAGGCATTGCACGCGCTTCAGAGAAGGCAAGTGCAGCTCCTGAAGTCAGCGAGAAGGGCTTGCTGGCAAGTGCGGTAGGATGGCACGTCCCGCTCCACTGCTCTGCAGTCTGCTTCCCCTCAGCTAACCGAAACCCCACTGACCCAGAAAGCGATGGCGTTCAGCATTCACACTCAGCCCGTAACGCAGCACTGTGTGCGTCTGTGTTCCCAGACGTTCCATCACAGCGGCTTGACTACTTCTACTTCTTTTCTTCAGCTAACAGAAAAGCCTGTTATGCCTAACAAAGCCACTGGAGACTGAAAATTAGTTAAGTTTGGAAATTCTCAGTGTGGATTAGATTAACAGCGTTGTAAAGCAACACTGTTTCTTTAATTTTGTTATGTTTGTGTGTGTATAATTGTAAAAGAACACACAGCAGAAAAAGCAATAGTTTTAGGAATATATGCGAGAGAATTCCTAAAATGCATTTTGATTACTCCTGTGTCCATTTTGCATATTCTTATAGTATGTACTAGCCTCAGGTTCTTCATCTCTGAAAACTGCAGTGGTAACTTCACTCTGCATCCATCCTTCAAACAAATATTCCCCAATTTTACAGTAATATTTAAACTTTGAATGCTATACAAATTGTAGGCAAGCTCTTCCAGTATTTGAATTTGCTAGTAAAAATACAATGCAGGTTACATTCTCCAGCCTCCTGCAAAATCTGTGAAATTCTTTTCAGTGACTGCCTGTGAGAGAAATCACTGCTGAGTACATTGTTCGTGATATGTAATCACAGCAAAAACCCACATGCACTCACCATTTTTTCTCTCTCCAGCTCTAAACTGAAGCGATCTTGTAATTCGACTTGAGTTTGAAGTCTTTTCTTCTCTTCCTCAGCAGCACGAGCAGCTGCTGCTTCCAGTTGCTGGAAAAGAAGGGCGGGAGGTGAGGGGAAGAAAAGAAAGAAAAATCAATTTGTCAAAACTAAAACATTTGGAAATTTATTTTATATTTTCTAGTTCTAGGAAAAATGGAAGAAACCCTCAAAAGCAGTAAGGCACTACCTTTTTCTTTTTTAATGTCTGAGGCTATTCTCAATCGCTAAATATGATTTTTAATCTTGTTATTTGCAAAACAATGTTAAATTTACCAATGAAAAGTCAATTATCAGACTTCCTCCAGGTTTCCTTTGAGTCCTGCTTTGCACAGCCAATAGAGGAGGAAATAACAGCAATTTCTATCTCATAGGAGATAGAAAAATTAAGGAAAACCACATCTCAGGCAGGACTGCGCAGGAGTTCCACCAGTGAAAACATGCCAGCATGCAGAGCGTTGACACAGAAACAGAAGGGAGAAGCACTGCAGTGCCACAGGAAAGCAGAAGTCCCACAAACATTGACTGTAAGAGGTGACTGTGCTATTGTGAATCACATCCCTTTAACATCTCCTAAATTGCCATGTAAGGTAAATAAAATTCTAGTTGATAAACAGCACTTGGACTTAGGGGAAAAATCAGCCAAATCAGAGCTAAGGCCTAGGAAGCAGCTGCTGGTACCTTCACACCTTCCTGCAACTTATTTAACTTTTTTTTTTGCATGTTGATTTCACATACAAAAAGAGCCATCACAGTTTTTCCTTTCATCGGGATTTTGATATCATGTATTTTTGGAATGCACAGAAGGTTAGAACTGTACAAGTACTGGCCAAAACTTAACCAATGCTGAAAACAAAATAGTTCTTTCACAGAATTTTCCTAAGAAACTTATTTGATGCTTCAGAGGAAACACAAAGCAAGCACCCTTCTCTAATACTCTAGGCTGCTGAAGTTGTTTTCGCAGACCTTCAGCAAGAGCGGGACAGCCTTTAGTCTTTTTGGAAGGTACCAAATTTAAACCACGATCCCTCAGAGAGCATAGATGTACTAATGAGATGCCTAAATGATTAAAACTGCCAAGCTAAAACTCCTTTAAGTGCTTGTGGTATCACTGTAGTCTGAAATAAATAGGAAGGGAAGGAGAAGGCTCCTTGTTTGTTCTTTAAGCTCTAGAAGATAGTACAGAATTGCTCTCCTTTGAAAGGCTTAAATGATGCCAGTCTTTGAGCAGTAGTAGTCCTCCTCTGCCAGAACATTTAAAAGCATGTAATTGTAGTCAAACCCAAGATGCCTATTTCAGTGAAATTTTCATTTCCTTCCCCGCTTTGAAATGAAGCAAACATTGCCAACACTGGGCTGAGAGGGCGAACGTGCAGAGCCACAGGCAAGGGTGGGTGCTAGACTTATGCCAGAGAGCTCGACAAGAAAATACGCTGTTTGTCCACTCTTAATCAGCAATTTCCTGCTTAATTCATGTCAAAGGACATCAGTTCCTGGCAGGTAAGGTCACTGGCAACAACCATGCGGTTTAGGGAAAAGTCCCAAATGCTGCGGGTGAGGAGGGAGGGGGAATCAGCAGGACCCCACCATTCCCGCAGGAGTTAGCGCAGGCTCCGAATCCCGTGCAAGCCCCCAAACTGAAACACGAAGGGTGCACAGGTCTTGTGCATGCTCTCTGGGTAAGAAAACCTTACCTTTCAGTCTGTTCAATGTGTGCATCTCAAAAGTCCATTAAAAATATGAAAAAAAATCTATTTTAGACAAAGGCTCTTATTCTTCTGAAATTTTCTACTGCAGGAGCTATCAAAACACAAACCCTTCTCAGAGTGCCCACTGGCAGATGCTGCCTAGTGGTGGCTCACTGCCATTAGGAGCAAATCTAACTCTTAAGCTTTCCAGAACAATTCAGTTTCCTGAACCATTTACAAAGTCTTTTCCTTGAAGAATATTTTTCTAACTAATCAAACACACTAAGTTCCTCCAACATAGCACCTCCCCACTAATTCCACTTAAAGTAAGTGCAGTAGTTCATGTCACAGGCAGACCTACTCTCTTTGTCAATTTAATCCAGTCCACTTCAAAAGCTGTTTCTTGCCACAATTCTCCTTAGTTTACCCACTGTGATTTCCACAAAACCCCCTGGAGCCTGTCAACAGCCTGTTGTTCCGTTGGGGTTGCTCTCGTGTTATCTTCCCCCTAACTTTTCCTCAGCAAACTCCAACTGAAATCCAGCCCTATGCTTTCTGTGTGAACAGGTGTATTACTTACCAGTAACTTGTAGGTAACACAAGCTATCCTTTAAAGCATATTTTCCATTCTGAATCATAAACACATGGTACAAAAAAAATTTAAAAATGGTTTTCCACTGCCAGACTCCATTTAAGGCAACCAGAATAGTACTATCAGTACTGCCAGTGGAAGACAAATTTCTCCTCGCCACAAACTGTGACTTAATGACACAACTTTTTTAAGAGATACATTTTGGAAGACTTTTATTTGCTTTCTAGACTTAGTACCTTTAACGTGCCGACCCCAGCTCCACCACAATTTCATTTTTTTTCTGAGAGCTAAAATGAGTGTTTTTCATTTATGAAAAACTGGAGCAGTGATGCAGACAGGCGGTGCAGGTGGATACTAATCCACTCCACTTCTCCGTGGAGAAGTGTTGCAGAGGTGCCAGTTGTTCCAAAGATCCCTCAGTATGTCCAATCTACTGTTAAGAGTGTGCAGCCACAGCAAAGGCACCTTGGTGTCTCCTGCCAGTCATTAGATTTAGACTACAAGGAAAATAATGTATTCAGCAAGTCTTCTGCTAACACTCAGAAATTTCCAGTCAAATTCTCGAGCTTTTAGAAACCGATCCAGCAGTTACAACACCCTGCATTCATACGGTCTCTAAATGGCTGCTGTGTAACTCAGCTTTATAAATCTCTCCCAAACTAATAAAATTACGCCCATTACACACTCACAAAATCACTTTGCATCTTTGGACTCTTTGTAAATTAAATTTGTATCTCTGGAAACTACATCTGTGAAAAGAGGTCTCACACGTACACAACGTAATAGAACTTCAGTGAACTATATAAGAAAATCTTAATGGAAAGCCTCAGATTTGACAGAAAACAAACAAACCAACCCACAAATAACTGAAAATACTAGACTCTCCTGTCCCCAGACAACATCCACACTTTTTTTCTTTTACACCAGCTTCAAAATACCCTCTTAAGTACAGGGGCCAGGGCTGGGCCCCATGAGTGACCCTGAGCCTGC